TCTTTCTCACTTTTTGTCTCTCTCTCCAGTGAGTACATGTGCCCTATAGCAAAACTCTCTCTTTAAAAACAAAACAAAACAAAACAAAACAAAACAAAAGTCCTGACAAAAGCAGACATATAAATATATAAATGGCAAATAAAAATGAAAAGGTACTCAACTTCATTACTTCTCAGGAAAATATGTATTAAAACCATAATGCACAACCACTACAAACACACAACATTGGCTATAATTTTAAAAGACCAGATTTTGGCCAAATGAGGCAAATGAAACCCTCTTATAATGTTGGTGTGAATTAAATTTGTACAGTAACTTGGAAAACGGTAATTCCCCAGAAATTCCACAACTTTGTCAGTGAAAAGTAAGGTATACTACATTAATGTGTGTATACATACAAGAAAATGTAAAAATGTTTATAGTGGGGGCCAGCAGATGGTGGTGCAGTGGTTAAGGGGCCGGACTCCCACATGGTTCACTGTGGTTCAAGTCCTGGAGCTGGCAGCTCACTTTCTCACTTTCCCTTTCTTGTTCTGTCTCTTTGGTCAAATTGAAAATAGTAATAATAGGGACCAGCAGTTAGCATAATGGCAATGTCTCTGAACTCCCATCTAGCCGGCCGCTGTTTGAGGTGCGGACCCGGTGGCTTAAATTCAAGCCCCTTCTCCTCCATTCTCCTCTCGGGATCTTGGGCACGCACGCACACACGCCCAGCGTGAGTTTTAAGCCACTGGGTTTGGGATGCAAACCACGGTCGATTATGTGGGAGTCCAGCGCTATAGCCATTACGCTAAATGCTGGTTATGATTCGTTTCTCTTAAACGGTTTAGAAAATATAAAAGCCTGTAATTTTGCTATATTGCTTATGTTATTTGAAATATATTACTTTTTATTTTATTTGTAGAGGTTTTTGCCTTAAATCACGGGTGCTCACCAGAGAGAGACAGAGACAGAGACAGGGAGGAGGAAAGTGAGAAAGATACAGAAATCACCCGCCAAAGGGGGATGGTCACGCCACCATCCTTTCTCCTCCATTCTCCTCCTGGGATCTTTGGCATGCACGCACATGCAGCTGGCATGAGTTTCATAGGGTCTGGGACGCGAACCAGGGTCAACCACGTTGGAGTCTAGCAATGTAACTGCTAAGCCATCTGCTGGCCTGGAGTATTACGTTTTAATTTTTGTAGCGAGAAATAAAATATCAGCTGGTAAAATGAAATTCCTGAATCATTCTGTCCTCTGTAAGGAGGGTCATTGGTGTCACGAGGCACTAGGCAACACGTGGCACTATTAGCGAGCAGTCCCTTGGAATCAGAGTCTCTTCATACCTGTGTTTCTGGCTGTTGGTCTTCACTTCCTTAATTACACTGAATGTGTCAGTAACTTCTCCGTCTGTGAAGACAAACAGCTATACAAAGAAAGAAGACATTCATTAAGCCTCTGTCAACTTCATTTTATGGTACCAGAATCTGTCCTTGAAAATTCCATCTATTTCATTCCAGAGCTTCTGATGTCTCTTCAAATGGGCATGAGAGACCTCAGGATCCACTGTCACCTGCACCACGTTTTCATATGGTCTGTTCAGAACATTGGGGATCTTTAGCATCTCCCCCTACTAAGCTTTTGTGACACTCCTCAGAACTACCTCTACTGTCCACTACACAGAGTCAAGGATAAAGAAAAACACCACTAATCTATTATTGTTTTTACATGATAGATGCCTCTGAATTCTATGCCATGCTAATAATCCTGCACTGAAACCCAGAGGCATGGGTTTTTGAACAGGTCTCTGTCTCCTGTTCCCTCCTGTCAGCTCCATTCCAATTCTTACCTGGAGAGGGTAGCCCGGGATAGGGGGTGCCTTGTAAATGTCCTGCAGTGGTGCCAGGATTTCGGTGCCCCCTAGGTCCGCCTGCATCACCTGGACCCTCTTCACTGCCTCCTTCATTGTCTCCTGCGTGTACTCCACACTCTTCCTGAGCAACACAAACACACCTGGTTACATGCTGGCTGCTTGACACTGGCCATTGTTGAGTCCCTCATTCATTAGTGTAACAAACCAGAAACAGTCTTATCTGAACCCCTCAGTGCCAAGGTCATTCTGCAGCAACCCCGTTAACTATCTAGTCCATTTCTTTAAATTATCTTTTTAGACTTTTATAGCCTTTCCAGAAACTTACTGAAAGAGTGCCTCATAGGAAGATCCAAATCCATAGACGTTGAAATAGCCTATAGGGAGACTCTTCAGAAGCAAAATCAGTGTCTCCTGAAGTAAGAGAGAATAAGGAAACGGAGGGAGGAAAACCTTCTCAGACACACAGACGCTCCGGTCTAACTCCTGAGGTGTCGCCCCACCCCACTGAGCCTCTCTATAGCCCACTCTACACTCCAAGTGGCCCCCTAGCTACAGCACAGATGGGAACTGACCCACGGCCCCAAATGGACACTGATCTCTGAGACCCCTGCCTCACCTGAGCATATGACCCTGAAAAAAAACGAAACCAGTTTACCTTGGCTGCCTCTATGCGCAGCTGAGATCTGTCCTGGCCACTCATTGGGGACTGCATACTTCCCGAGCGGTCCATGAGGAAGACAAATTCTCCACAGACAGGTGACTGAGCTTCTGGGATATCTGGATAAAAGCTCACCATTGCTGATGGGTCTCCCATCACGCACTCTGCGTAGAAAGCAAAGGCACTGTAAGACGCGGAGGAACTCAAGATCCTAACACCCCCAAGCATCAACTGCAGTGAGTTCAATAGGGAGCCAAGGGAACTCCAATCTAAAACACCGTGGTGGATTTGCACACTGTATCTGTGTGCAAAGGGGTTGATGACCATATAAGAAAGACAGAAAGCAGATCAGAAATGGTATAAAGAGCACAGGAAGTCAGCAGGCACAGGCAAGAATTAAAACACTGTGACCGGATGCCAGATAAATAAGTAAAACGCATCAGGTTAAAATGTTCCAGCAGTGAGCCAGCAGG